TTGCGGTCCGTGAGTTCGAGCCCCGTGTCGGGCTCTGTGCTGACGGCTCAGAGCCTGGAGCCTGTTTCGGATTCTGTGTCTCCCTCTCTCTCTGACCCTCCCCTGCTCATGCTCTGTCTCTCCCTGTCTCAAAAATAAATAAACGTTAAAAAAAATTTAAAAAAAACCAAACCAGCTATCTAGAATGCCCTTAGAAGAATCCACTCCTTAAGATCTGCATCATTCAGCAGACATCCACACTCAGATATGTAATCTTCGATCCACATCTTTGAGCTAACCCTCAGCCAACTTCATGGAACCACACGGGTAAAGAGAAGCCACCAGCTATACCACAGGTAGGTACTGTGCTCAGTGGCGAATGACAGTCACCAATGTACCACAGAAACCTAGGAGGTATATACGGGTGTCTAAGCATCTGTGAAATGCAATATTTCAATCAGCATCGCGAAGCAAGCTAAGACACTGGGAAGAACTCTAAACAACTGCTAATGGGGGGGGGGCGCCTTTTTCAAGATGGAATCATTTGGTTTCTCAAATGTTTGCGAATTACAGGGTGAATACAGAGTAAATTAACAAAGTCACCATGGAGGAATAAATCAAACAAACAAACAAAACAAAACAAAAGGAGAGAGGGAGAGAGAAAAGCCAGGAAGCGAAACCTGCCTTCCAGCTACATGGAAAAACACTCTAGTGCCCCGAGTAAATAAATAATAAAAGGATATGGAAACAATACACCCTGAAAACTCTTGTCCCTCCTCTGTTCTCCTGGCGAGAAGCAGTGCCGACAGGTTTGTGCTGCCTGAGCTACAAACCCAGCTAGCATTTATTTAGCTAATAACACTCGAGGACTCTTTAAAGAATGAGGTAGGGCATTTCAAAGCCCCGAAGCCTGTCAGTTAGTGTATCCCATTATTGGACTCCAAGCTCCAGTATTAACTCCAGAGACAAAGTACCTCGGCCCCCGGGCCAGATAAATGCTAGAAATAAAGGGGGCTTAGGGGCGCCTGGGTGGCGCAGTCGGTTAAGCGTCTGACTTCAGCCAGGTCACGATCTCGCGGTCCGTGAGTTCGAGCCCCGCGTCAGGCTCTGGGCTGATGGCTCGGAGCCTGGAGCCTGTTTCCGATTCTGTGTGTCCCTCTCTCTCTGCCCCTCCCCCGTTCATGCTCTGTCTCTCTCTGTCCCCAAAAAAATAAATAAACGTTGAGAAAAAAAATTTTTTTTTAAAAATAAAAAAAATAAATAAAAAAAAAAAATAAATAAAGGGGGCTCAGATCACACCATTTTCCTTTCTCGCCGGTAGGAAGGCTCCTGAGAACATGTACCCACAACGAAAAAGACTGAAACAACACACAGTGACTGTCAATTCTCACCACACCTAGCCCTGTTTTTAGAAAACATCTTAATTCATATAGGTTCTGGTTCCCGATGATAGCCTTAACCTTGCCTGCTCACATACTTTCATATTATTTCTTCAACACACGCTGTGCCACCCGCACAAACAAGCCATGCAACCAGTGGTGTGGAACAGAACACGAATAAAAACGAAGCAAAACACAAAGGAAATGAAGGTGGAAATGAAAATCCAGCATCACAGAATTTTAGAGCTAGAGGAGACTTTGGGGAGTAAGAAACAGGCTAAGGACCTGCACTAGGGCAGATAATTGGTAGCAAAGAAAGATCTAGAAGGGTCTAGAAAAGTCTAGAAAGGCAAAAATGTTGACTAGCTGTCACTTCTGCAGGAGGCCTGGAAACAATTCTCTTCTTAAAGGCAATATTGCCAGTTCTCACTATAGGACCTCATGAAGTGGTTTGTCAGGGCTGCTGAGAAAACTGAAAGCAATGGCCAGCCTAGGGCAGTGGGCTGGCCTCCATGGTGTCTGTCAGACCCACCTCCCTATGGAGAGCAGCCTAAGAAAGGAGTTGATATTTAGGGATCAAGCCACTTTCGGGGGGGGGGGGGGGTGTCCCATTTTTCATAGAACCTGTCCTGGGATTTGACAGTATTTGATTTAACATGATTTCACTCCCTTTCATTCTTCTATGGAAGCAGAGATGTTCCGTACTATCCCATCTTACAGATGAGAAAGCCAAAGGTTTGTTTTCTTTTTCAAAGACTCCAGTGCTGCAAACTACTTGGGGACAAGGGCTGCCTTTAGGTGGTCAGAGCAACATCCTCCATGTAGCAAAGTGTTACCAACAAAGGCTGATTTCCACTCTCAGGCAAGGGGTGGGTGAGCCGCAACAGAAGCAGAAAACCAGAAGAGAACCAGGACGGGATGCAGACAAAGATCAGTAGGACTCCTATAAAAATGCGGAGGGGGGCGCCCGGGGGGCTCAGGCGGTTAAGCATCTGACTCGATTCCGGCTCGGGTCACGATCTCACCATTCGCAGGATCGAGCCCCGCGTCGGGCTGTGCGCGGACAGCATGGAACCTGCTTGGAATTCCCTCTCTGCCTCTCTTGCTCTCAAAATAAATTAAACAATTTTTTTTTTCAACGTGTTAAAACAAAGGGGTGACATGTCACATCACCGTTGCACTGAAAAGACAAAACAGCCATGTTGATAGGCCCTGAGGATCTGAAACCCTCTGTGGAGAGAGAGAGAGAGAGAGAGAGAGAGAGAGAGAGAGCCTTAAGCAGACTCCACACTCAGCACAGAACCACACATGGGGCTTGATCCCACGACACTGGGATATGACCTGAGCCGAAATCAAGAGCCGTTCTCTCAACTAACTGACTGAGCCACCCCGGCGGCCCTGCATTCTTTTTCAATTAAATGAGAACCTCTGGTAAGCAACATGTTTTCAGTTTCACCCAAACTAGGGATTATTATAATTTTAAAACACCCAAATAAACAAATTATGGCAAATCTCTATGACGTAACACTACAGTGGAAGAGCTAATGGCGAGAGCCAAAGTGTAAGATGTGAATGGGGCGCCTGGGTGGCCCAGTCGGTTAAGCGTCTGACTTCGGCTCAGGCCATGGTCTCACGGCTGGTGAGTTCGAGTCCTGCATCGGACTCTGTGCCGACAGCCCGAAGCCTGGAGCCTGCTTCAGATTCTGTGTCTGCCTCTCCCCTGCTTAGAATCTGTCTGTCTGTCTGTCTGTCTCAAAAATAAACATTAAGAAAATAAAGGGGCGCCTGGGTGGCGCAGTCGGTTAAGCGTCCGACTTCAGCCAGGTCACGATCTCGCGGTCCGTGAGTTCAAGCCCCGCGTCGGGCTCTGGGCTGATGGCTCAGAGCCTGGAGCGTGTTTCCGATTCTGTGTCTCCCTCTCTCTCTGCCCCTCCCCCGTTCATGCTCTGTCTCTCTCTGTCCCAAAAATAAATAAATGTTGAAAAAAAAATAAAAAAAAAAAATCAAAGTTTAAGATATGAAGAGAAGAGCAAGTCAAACACATATAACATGATGTCACTGTTACTAATATATGCATGCGTAAATAACACGGGTAGAAAAAAACTGGATGTACCCACTGCAAATACGATATAACATCACAGTGGTTTTCTCTGAATGGCATAACTCCTGGTGATCTGTATTTTTGTTTTCACGCTTTTCTGTGATCCATATATATTTTCTAATGCTTATGTACCGGGTTTGTAGCAATTAAAAAATAAATAAATAAATGCCTTGAAGACTTTAAAATATCTTCATGTACTTTTGGTGGGAGTATGGATAGGGAACAATTCCTTGGAGAAGGGATGCGGGCATATGTGTACAACGTTGCATGCAAATACTCTTTGACCCGGCATTTCAACTTGTTATGACCCACTCCCACGGGTGCGCAAAGAAGTAGACAAAAGGACCATCAAGACGGCATTGGTTGTAATAGCAAAAGACCAGAAGACTCAAATGCCCATCAATAGGGAAATACAAGTAAATTAGGGCACGTCTATTCATGCTAATACAGCCAGTAGAAAAACCCAGCTGTGAAACTATCTCTAAGCGGGGCGCCTGGGTGGCTTAGTCGGTTAAACGTCCGACTTCGGCTCAGGTCGTGATCTCGCGGTTCGTAGGTTTGAGCCCCACATCGGGCTCTGTGCTAATGGCTCAGAGTCTGGAGCCTGCTTCGGATTCTGTGTCTCCCTCTCTCTCTGCCCCTCCCCAGCTCACACTGTGTCTCTTTCTCTCTCAAAAATAAAGAAACATTAAAAAAAAAAAAAAAACACCTCTATCTCTAAGATACGTGATTAAGTGAGAAAAGCAAGGTGCAGGATATATGCAGTCATTTGCGTAAAACTGTTTTTGGTATTTGCACATGTACAGGCTGTCTCCAGAAGGTGCTCCTAAAGATGATAATAATGTTGCCTCAAAAGAAGGAAATTAGGGAAACAGGAAAGAGGAGACCAGATGAGAGGAAAGCTTAATGTAATTGGATAGCCTTCCTTCTGTACTTTGAATCTTTTACTTTGAGCAAATATCACCACGAAAACAAAACCAAACAAAAAACTTTAAAATGCAAAAGCCGCAGGGGAAACCGCACCAATTATTTTTCTAAAGGTTTCAGCACCTTATGCCATAAGCCTCTTCCTTTTGAAGGCAGCCCCCCAGTATTGCTGCCTCCAGGAAAAAAAAAAAAAAAAACAAACACAACCATTCAAGGGACCCCAAGTGTTGCTGTTGACCTGGGGCCCTCATGCAGAGTCACGCTGGCTCCTTTTTTACAATTTTTTTAAAGTTTATTTTTATTCGCAAGAGAGAAAGAGAGCTAGTGGGGGAGGGGCAGAGAGAACGGGAGACAGAATCCCAAGCCGACTCCGAACTGCCAGCACAGAGCCCCCTGCGGGTCGCGAACTCACAAACCACGAGATCATGACCTGAGCCGAAATCAAGAGTCTGACGCTCAACCGACAGAGCCACCCAGGCATCTCCACACTGGTTCTTGATGTGACCTCTAGGATCGGGTTTGGACAAGCACGGGTTCAGGCAAAGCAAGAGGCTGTGTCCTTTGACAACACCATCAAATTCTCACTTGTATGCAGTAAATAAGAAATTGTTTACCTTTCAGCAAAGGTATCGAGTTTCCCCAGCTCATCAGAGAGGCCAACAAGGGAATCCAAGGTCCCCACCTAGAAAGGTTGCAAAGACGTTAGCGGCTCACGCTTTATGGCAGGGAAGGTGTAGGTCACTTTCAACAACAGTGCAGGGACTTCTGTGACTTCCGTCTTGCCTTAGTTATTCTGGGTCAACGGCCAAACTGGAAATTGGGAAGAGCTCTTAAGAGAAATCAGCAGATTGGGGATATTTTCTCATTTTTAAAGTTTAGCTGTTATTGTTATTACTGCCAACAGGATGAACTGTTACATTTCTGCCACAGGAAGGAGCAACTTCTGTATCATTGTGGGACCCCAGCTCATTATCTTCTTAAAGTGGCAGTCTGCTGGTCACATGATCAATCCCCATGTTGAGGAGGAAATGTACCAGAAAGCAAGTTAAAGAAGTTACCGTGGTTTTTTTTTAGTTTTTATTTAGTTTTTTTTTAAGAGAGAGAGGAAGAATGCACACGTGTGAGCAGGGGAGGGGCGGAGAGAGCGAGAGAATCCCAAGCAGGCTCTGTGCTGTCAGCGCAGAGCCCAACACGGGCCTCGATCTCATGACCCTGAGATCATGACCTGAGCTGAAATCAAGCATCGGATGCTTAACTGACTGAGCCACCCAGGTGCCCCAAGAAGTCACCATTTCTAAACGCTTTTCTTCTCCAAGATGTCCAATCAATGTCTGTCTCTGCTCTGCTTTGCTGTTATTAACAATGATCTTGCGAGGGGGGGGGGGGCGGCAGCTTCCTCCCCTCCCCCCGCCTCATCATTCCTGCAAGTCTTTCTCTTTTCAGATTACTTATAACGATCTATTTCTTTTTTTTTTTTTAATTTTTTTTTCAACGTTTATTTATTTTTGGGACAGAGAGAGACAGAGCATGAACGGGGGAGGGGCAGAGAGAGAGGGAGACACAGAATCGGAAACAGGCTCCAGGCTCCGAGCCGTCAGCCCAGAGCCCGACGCGGGGCTCGAACTCACGGACCGCGAGATCGTGACCTGGCTGAAGTCGGACGCTTAACCGACTGCGCCACCCAGGCGCCCCTTAACGATCTATTTCTTAATGTGAAAATTATTACGCAGCCCGAAACTGTATTGAAAGGTCTCTTCCCGGAATCAGAAGGAGAGACTCTGTGTTCAGATTAGCAATCCCCCATCGGACATTAAAAAGCAATTATGATTAACACTGCGTGTCAGGTATACTTTAATATAAAAAAAAAATACTTTGAGAAATACCTTAAGAAAGGCAGTTAGGAAATGATGAAGCACAGCTACCTCTAGTAAGTGCAGTTTGCTTCTCTTTCAAGCGACCTGATGTTAAGCCATATTTGGCAGAGGTCCTGCCTCTTATCTTTGTTCCCTGCAGTCTAACACATTGCCTTACAAAGAGTCAGCGGCGAGTGGATGCTTAATTCCCCGACCTCCACAGCGCCGGTCGCCAGGCAAACAGTGGCAGCAACATACGGATTCAGAAATCAGTGCCGCCACTTACCAGATTTACCACCCTCGTCTCCCTTCCCCGCCCTTCCTGATCTATAACGTGGGCCTTGTGAACATTCCAGATGGTGTGTTCAAAGTGCCTGGCCCCCAACATACTGCTCGATAAACGCTAGCGAATAGGGTCGCATCACCAATGAGAGCTGACGGTGCAGCCCTTTTGGTAGCCTGGCCGACTGAGGTTTGAAAAAGGACAGGGCAGTTTTCTAGAACGGCTACCGCTGGGCAGTTAGGGCCATCCCTCCAGCACCCACAGTGCATCTGCATAGCTGTCATTGAAAAAATGCCTCAAGCCTCTTCTCTCTGGAAGCTTACAATCTTAGGAAGGACTGCGACAAGGCTACTCTTCGGAAGTAAAAAGACTGCACACCCCGTTCCTCTCTCACATTTGTTAGATTCTAACTTTGTGCTCCACAGCAAGAACCCTTAGACTTCCCTGCCTCGTGTCTTTCTGCCATCGGCCCGGTTACCATTAAGTTCCCTTCCTGCCTCTCCATCAGATTCCACCTGAATCTCCCACCCTGCTTCCAGTTCAAGAGCACAATCAAGACCGAAGCTCTCCACGCCTGTACATTTCAACTGTATTGTGGGGCTTCTTGGATGTCGAAGACAAAACAGGAAGAATCCTAGAACAACTCACAAGAGCCTAACACCCTTCTCTCCCTGTTCATTCTGTCCTGTGTTTTTGGGTCCATAGGAACCACAATGAACTCTGGGCTGTGGCACGAAGTCCCATCCAGACCACTGACTTCCCTGTGCATCGTCCCCCCCCCAGGCTTATCCTCAGCGTTGCTGCCTTTGACCTGTTATTTTCTCCTTGGCTTCCCAGGAGACACCCACCCACCCCAAACCATCATGTCCTTCCTCTCTCCCCAGGAACTTTACCTTGAAGTCAGGAATCGAGAATTTGGTGTTATAAGACAGGTTGGACTTGGAGGTTACCGTGTTCATCCTCTCCAGGGCTTGTAAGTTTTCCTTGTCGCCGGGGGCAGAAATTAACCAAAACTCCGACATGGCTTCCAGACTTCTTTGATCCAGTTACTGACCAGAACCACAGCAACACGCACAAACAGAAACAGGAGGAGAGAAGTGTCAAATATCTCTACTCCTTCACCACTTCCCTTCCCTCAGAATTAATCCTCTCCAGGAGGTGTTGCCTTTACTACATCCCCTTCTTTGTCCCCCGCGACCTTCCAATTCAGATTCTCTAGTTCCAAGGACACCCATGTGCTTGCTGATCTGCAGTGCTCTTATCTTCACTTGAAAAGACCGCAAAGTCTTCAGTTGGAAAGCCCTCAGGTCTCCACAAAGACTCCCAAACCATCCCTAGGGTGGCTCTGACTGGTTTTAAGGGTTGGGGGGAGGGATGGGGACAGCAAGATTCCCGGTCCTTTTACTCCCCTCTCTCCTGACATCAGAGTACAAACGGGGGTGAGGGGGGTGGACAGCCAGCCAGCCAGGCTGGGGCCTCCTGAAACGGTTTCCTCCTTTCCACATTGTACTTTCTGGGATGAAGCGAAGGCAGGAATGAGACAAGGTGGCGTTTTCACATCAGGAGCTTGGGCAAACCCCAGACCGTTTACTGACCGGCCTTCAGAATGGTGCTAGCCTTAAAAGTAAGACTTCAGGGGCGCCTGGGTGGCGCCGTCGGTTAAGCGTCCGACTTCAGCCAGGTCACCATCTCGCGGTCCG